TTAGAAGAAAGTCTCTTTTGATTCATTTGTAATGTTTTATTTTATTTTCATCATTTCACTTCTTTCCAATCCATAACCAAAAAAGTACAAACACAATGACAACGTGCGTTCACTACGTTCACTAAAACACCTAAAATATCTTAAATGAAGATACTCATTGAACTCAAATAAGTATAAATATCATTAAATATTTGCTGTGGTTGTTTCACGCAGGCTGCACATCAGGAACACAGTCCAGGTAACCCTGAAACCAAAAAAAGGGAGACTTTAAAAATGTGAACTGTGACTTTACATGTCAGCGTGCGACTGCAGCTTCAGTGTCATCTCTGTCTCACCTCCTTCATCGCTCGACTGAGCCACCTTGCTCTAGGATTTATGCACGTTGATGAGCCATTCTTGAGTTTTATCCTGTGAAAAGGGTCATACAGTCAAGTAAACTCTGATGTGTTTCCTGTCAATTTGTACAAATTAAATTTGAAGTGTGTTCTCACAGGAAGGCGTGGCTTTGACAGCCTGTACGAGACTGCTGCTCAAAACAGCTTTCTATGTCGTTGAGCTGGAGAATGACCCGGTTGTACCTGTGGCAGCAGGGTAAACCATTATTTAATTTGTTCCTGTGGCAGCAGGGTAAACCATTATTTGGAGTTGCCTCCTCTAACACACACACACACACACACACACACACAGAGAGAGAGAGAGAGAGAGAGTTGTCAGTTTATCTGCGAGGACCACAACTCGTAAAAGTGAAACATAAACATTTTTTCCAGTCCACATAAACATTGTTTGTAAATATGACTCAGTCAGAAGTGCGTTCTTTTCGTACGTCATCAGACGCTGACATAAATCCTTGTTTACGGTATGTGATATCTCAGAGTAATGTCTGCAGTCTTATCTCCCAGCTGTACCAAAGTCAGTACTCGTGGATAAAGCAACATTTTCTGGTCAACTACTGCCCTCTGTGGTCAGTTTGTGTCCCTAACGTGAATCTAAGACAAAACCCCACAGTGGATCAGCAGCTGAGCTCCTCTCAGGATTGGACTTTAATGACATCAATCATTCATTTTCTTCCTTCCTATACAAATATGACACATTCAATTATAACACATTGACAGATCAATGCACCAGCGCTGGTTTTACCCTGCCATTCTTTTTCAAGTGTAATGAAATGTAATGATGTTTTACCTAGTGACACAGAGTGGAATGCGACTGCAGCCAGGACGAGCAGAACAATGCAGCCGACAGACGGACCGGACCACATCTTCAGACCGGATCGGTGGTGGAAACAGGTGAAGGTTCTGAGAGTCTAATGGTGAGCTCTCCTCCTTATATTCTACCAAAAGAGGAAGAACTGTTGTCATGGGCTGTGTTTCAATGGAAATGACTAAACGTGGTGACGATACAGAAAAAAAGACCATTACCAGAGAATCCTGAGAGAAGTGTTGTTGTTCTCAACATTAGATTAGGGACACTGTACCACAACACTGTGTGTTATACTTTATTCATTTATTTATTACATTTTACTTTATATTTATTTTTAGAATGCTACTTTTTTAAACATTTCAGTAACTTTTTCTTTTTTTTTTGCACTGGTCAGGGGTCACCAACCTCTTTGAAACTGAGTGCTACTTCAAGGGCATATAGTCATGCAAGGAGCTACTTGTTTCATGTAGTAATAATTAGTTCTGGGACATACAACAGTAGACTCTCTTCTTACCATCGTCACTGCAGTCATGTTAATATGTCACTGCAAGTGGAACTGATTCAAAAAGCGCAGTAACAGCACAATTCTTGACCCTCTTGTTGACTAGGTTCATTTTTATTTGTATTTTTTAACCTTAGGTAGTCCACGGGGGCACCACGTTGGTGAGCCCTGCTCTAGGACATTTGTTCACTCCTGATTCACATTCGTTTGGTGTGAATAGTTTTTGTCTTTGTATGTGACCTCATGGTGTGAGGTCACATCACAAGGTCACACCTCGATGACACTAAAAATAGGCTGAAGTGACAGAAGAAGAATGATGAATTATAAAGCGAAGGCAGTAAAGAGGTTGTGTTTCCCTCTGTTCTGGACGACTGCTACATCAAATGGATAGATTCAAACTCTGTCACTGACCCGGTGCCTCACTGGGCTCAATGTTGTCATTCATGTGACTGTGCAGCAGATGGGGAATTACCCAAATCATGAGAGAATCTGTAAATAAAGTGTACGACTGGGCGGGCATTTATTTTTAACCTATGCTGTTTCCACAGCTACCTCCAGTGCAGCTCAGGTTGTATGACACACAACTACATTCTTTATGAAGCAGAATTATTCCCATATATGGGCGATAGCTAATGCAGAAGTACAGTCATACTGTAGGGGTAGACAAGGTCAGAAATTAGCAAACACCCAGGGCGAAGTGTCCCTTTCCATGAAACTGTTTCAACATGTGTTGGGTTAATATTACATTAGACAAATATCTGGTCAACCTGAGTACAAAATGTCACTCAAATGTCACTCGGCTCATGTGGTGCACACAACACTTGGCCAAGTCTTCATTCCATTAGAAGAAATAAAATATATATATATAAAAAAATATATAGCCAAAATAACCTCAATCCTCACTCACCTCTAGCCCCCCCAAAAAAATGAGCCAAGAAAAACAAAACATATAATTAATAATTGATCAAATATTTCATGTGACCTCAACCATATCTAAAAGTCAGCTAAATCTTTCTTCTTTTTCAGCTGTTCTCTTCAGGTGCAGATCATCCACCTCTATCTCAACCCCTCTATTGCCTTCTGTGGTTGTTCAACAGAATCCAGTAAACTATGTAAAACAAAAAATAAAAAACCTACTATTTCTATTTGTTTACAATAAATGTAAAAGGTACAATTATCAGGAATATCTGGAGAGAAGAATTATCCTCTTTATACACTCACAATGAATGGATGAATAAAATAAATAAAATACAAAAGCTTTTAAAAGAACCGCGCCCGATACTCTCGCGAGATTTGCGCCCCCTGTGTTGGTGTGTGAAACAGCAGAGGGAGGAATGAGGAATGATCCCCGGCTAACGATAGCAGGTTCACGGGAGAGACATTTAAATTAGCCCTCAGATTTCACTGCTGTTATGGAAAAGGAAAGTCATTTTCAATAAAAAAAATTGCGAAGGGAATTATTTTTATTTCCATTCTTCTCTGTTTTTTTTGTCTCCTGCCTTCTTCCCGCCGAGGCGGTCAACAACAGACCCAGGCTAATCCTGAAGAGTCAGCGGACCGGCCTCAGGTTTGTAGCCGGCCGTACGTGTGCCTGAAGTAGGGAGCCGCTGTCAGGAGAGACCGAGGCTTTCGCTGGCTCGTTCGTCTCCACACCGGGGAGAGCTTGAAATTTCAATTTTATTTTATACAACGCTACGTTGTGTTATGCTCAGACGCCGCCTCGACAGCAACTGCTGCCTTTTATCGTTTCCACGCCAGTCTGAACACATTTTGAAGCCGGGGCGGCCTGTTTTGTTTTGCGAGGCGGCCATGAAGAAACAATAACAGAGCAGCGGCGGCGGAAGCAGCAGCAGCACGGTTCCCGGAGAGGAGACATTCGGGGGCTGCAGCGTGGCACTTCAGCAACACCCGGCAAACCAGCTCTAAATCCTGGGAGGAACATGGTGTAATCGGCACCATACCAGGGTGAGCAGAGCCCTGCGGAGCCGTACACCCTGCCAGTGAAGCCCGTGTCACCGAGGCGTCGTTACCGCTTCTCAACCTGGACATAACAAGTGACGAAAAGATGTTGTTTTAATTGTAACACAGTGTCAGAGAGTGCGTGGAACAGAGCCGAACACCAGTGAATGGAGCTATGTTTACAAAGAGCCATCACCGGCGGGACATACTGAGGATGTGACCGGGGGGATGAGTAACCTCCGCCGGCCTGTGCTCACACCCATCTATGCCCGCTTCAAAGCCCCCGGACTCACAGGACCCTGACACCGACTTCCCCTCAAACTTCTTTGTCGTCACTTATCGGTGGATTTATTAGTGTCGCCTATCAGCATATTCTTCCAGACAAGGACCGTCGGGGACTGCCCCGGAGGCCCTGGGGCCAGGCGGCTGAGATGAACCCGGTGAACGCCACCGCTCTGTACGTGTCTGCCAGCCGCTCGGTGCTGCAGTGCGACCCCCGAGACCCGCGGAGCCTGGCGGAGCTGTGTAAGCTGCTGCCCTTCTTTCGACAGTCTCTGTCCTGCCTGGTCTGCGGTAAGTCTCCGGATCTGTGTGTCTAAATGGCTTTAAACCTGTTCATCTACGTGTTTCATGATTATTTTTAAAACATTACGGACATTGTGTCGATGTGTTTTATGTTGTTGTCATCAGCTGGCACACGGAGCGGGGATTTAAAAATGATGGATTCAAGGACAGTCGGAAATATTCCACTTTAAACCCAAACGTAATTTTTTCTTTTTGTAATATTAAATATGTATAGTTTTTACATAGAT